AGGCGGGGTGCGGGGGCCACCGTGCTTCCCCTCACGCCTCTCAGAGTGTCGCAGAGAACCGCTGAGCTTCTTACCTCCGGGCTCAGTACCCAAGCTCCAGCAGGCAGCTGAGTCCGCCAGCACCCTCGCCCCACGGTGGTCCCTAAGCAATGGGCGGCTGTGCTGGGATCGGGGGACAGACACGGCGGCAAGGGAGGGTGATTAGACCGGAGTGGGGGGGACCAGGACAGCACAGGAGTCCCCAGAGATGAGCCGGCACCTGGCCCTTCCCCGCGCCCCAGGAAGCAAAGAGCCAGCAGGCTGTCACGAAGGACAGTCAAACAGGAGGAAGGAAGCCATCGAGACCGCGACGCGACTGACGATCCAGCAAAACGAAGCGATGGTGGCTGCGTCATCGCACGTCTGTCAGAACCCACAGAATGTAACTGACGAAGACGAGCCTGATCCCCATTTGGTCGATAATAATAAATCCATATCGGCTCATCGACGGTAACGGATGCACAGCACGGAGGTGAGATGTTAACGGGGGGCCGGGGAGGGTCGTGGGGGGCCAATGGAAACTCTGAAACTTCGGCTCGACTCTTCTATAAACCTTAAGCCGCTGAAAAATTAAACCTATTAATTTAAAAAAATACGGGCGCTGCTCTTCAGAGAGCAGAAAGTAAGACGGATGTGATTGAGGAGCTGCCCAGCAAACTGGAAGATGGAGCCAAGGGATTCTCCCAGAATGCAGTGTGAACAGACCCCGGGCAGCGGCCTTGGAGGACAGCTTCCCCTGACTTCAGGGACTGGCCCCAGGCTCCAGAAACATCCTTCCCACGCGCCCCCACCACAGTCTCCCTCTTTCTAAGTTGAGGGACATTAGTAAAGCCTCGGGATTTTGTCTCCCACCTTCTACCCCGGGGGCTGCGTTTTTATGGGTGGGGAGGGGCCAGGAGACAGCGCAGGGACCTTAGAAGCCATGGCAGCTTTTGCCCGGGTCCTCAGCCTCTCCAGGCTGCCCCGTGTCACGTTTCCTGCCCGAGGGAGTGCGGCTCTTTATCTGGCCATTGAACTGAATTTTTGCTGGTTTTCTCCTTTTCAAAAAAAATTCTTTCTTTAGGAAGAGTCGCAATGAAGCCTTCCAGAAAAGCCATTCAGCATTCTCTATTAAACATTTAAATTTGTGCATCCTCGTGCAGGATGGCGCTTCCGCAAGGGCCGCGTATCCACGAAATGACGACGTCTGTGTGAGGCTTTTCCAAACCTGGAAGCAGCCCGTGTGCCCATAAACAGGGGAACGGGGGCGTCCGCCCGCTGTGGTTCTCGGAGGCGTGTTTAAGGGGCGGGACAATACACCCCGATGGAGGGAACGCTTCGAGGCCTCCCGTCGCGTGGCAATGGCGAGTTGGCCGGGGCGCGCGTGGGGTCCCCGGGGACAGACACGTCGTGCGCTGGAAAACGTGCATCGCGCCCGCAAGTCCGCGGACAGGCAGAGGCACGCAGAAGGGGCCGGAGGGCTCCCGCCAAACGCCTGTCACCAGCTTCCTCCGGGGGCAGGGTGCAAACAGAGGCCGGGGCCGGGGGGGAGGGGGGCCTCGCTGTCACCTGCAGATCAAATACGGACGTGCCGCTCGGGTCCTTGACCAAAGCGCGTTTGTCATTCCCCAGCCGCATCGCGGAACTCTGGGTCTGCGCCCCTGAGGATGGCACATTCCGGTGGGGACCCGTCGGCACAAACCACCTCCGGAGCAGGGCGGGCCCCCCGCGGCCTCTGCCCCCAGTCGGGGGGACAGCGAAGACGCACGGCGGGCAAGTCCAGAGGGGACGCGGACACGAAGGGAGGTGACCCCGGAGAGGGAGGGGCCGGGAACCGGGACCGGGGACCAGGACCAGGGACCAGGTGCGCTGGGGCGGCGCAGACTCTGGGCGCTAATTTGGGAGGAAACCGAAGAATTCAGTTGCACTCACCAAGCGGCTCACGTGCAAGTGCCCGTGCTGGGTGCGTGGTGCGTGCGTGGTGTGTGTGTGGTGCGTGCGTGTGCTGTGTGCATGGCGTGTGTCAGTGTGGCATGTGTTTGTGTGTATTGGTGTGTGTGTGGCCTGGTGTGTAGAGTATGTGGAGTATGTGTGTAGCGTGATCTGTGGTGTGTGGTGCGTGTGGTCCATGGTGTGAATGTGTGTGGTGTGTGGTGTGGTGGTGTGTGTATGTAGCACGTGTGGTGTGTGTGGTGTGTGTGTGGTGTGTGTGGCGTGTGTGTGTGGCGTGTTGGTGTGTAGCGTGTGTGGTGTGTGTGGCGTGTGTGTCTGTGGTGTGTTGGTGTGTGGTATGTGTGTTGGTGTGTGGCATGTTGGTGTGTGGTGTGTGTGGTGTGTGTAGCGTGATCTGTGGTGTGTATACTGGTGTGTGTGGTGTGTGTACTGGTGCGTAGTGTGTGTGGTATGTGTATAGCGTGTGTGGTGTGTGTTGTGTGTAGCATGTGTGGTGTGTGTGGTGTGTGTGTGGCATGTGTGTCTGTGGCGTGTTGGTGTGTGGTGCGTGTGGCGCGTGTGTAGCGCGTGTGTAGCGTGTGTGTCTCTGGCGTGTTGGTGTGTAGCGCGTGTGTACGCATGCACACGCACACACACGTGCTCTGGGACGACAGGCAGGCGGGGGAA